AAGGAATATTCGCCCAGTGGCAGTATGTAGGTAATATTTACACTAGAACGCTCTAGTTTTGTGAGATAAAGGAGAACGCTGGGGGCCCCAGGGGCAGCAGGGGGCTCAGCGGCACCAAGTACCCTGGGGACCCCTGGGGCCCTCAGGGCCCGAAGAGCCTCCATCGGCCCCATGGCCACCACCACCCCCAGGGCCCAAGCTTATACTGTTTGCGCCCCTATATCATGGCTTCACTCCCTATTTACGGAAGCTCCCCGTAGCCGTTTCACTTCAACGCATCTCTGCCAATTCACCAAGTTTCCCCTGTGCCATTCTGACTATCTCTTTTGCCGCCCCTATAGAGCATCCCCAGCAACTTGAATTCAAGGCTGGCCAATTGATACCGATACCTGGTGACAGCCAATTCATACTGAGGGATTGCTTTTTAATGCCAGTGGAATGTTAACGGCGACCTAAGAACCGATAAATGTAGAAGAGGCTGACCGTCCAACAGGGGTGGTGTGTAGGGCGATTACAATTACACCTGTAGGTTTTCCCCTGTCATCTTCAGCAAAAGCAAAGAGAAAGAACCAGGCGAAAAGCAATAGTCAACACTGCCCACCGTAGTAGCTGCAACGGTGTCTGGAGAAATGCACAACTGGTACAAGCCTCCGCCCCTCAGCATAGGTCTTTAATTTTTGCTCTAGGATACGGAGATTCACTTCTCAGCACACTTGTCTAGGGCTGTCCCTTTTGCTCTATGGATATTCGCTTCGTAGCGCTTTGTGTTATGCTGTACAACTGGTGGCAGTGGGGCACCACAGTGGCAATTAATGATGAATGCCAAACAGAGGCAGCTTGTTGCTCCTGCAACACTATCAACTGCTAAGCCTGCCCCTATTTAATTGGAGTCAACAAGACAAAGGAATTTGCCAAGAACTGAGAACGAAATTTGCGAGAGGCATGCAGTTCGGTTCCTGTCCAAATATCTTACAGGCACCAAGTGCCTCTAATTTGTTGCAGGGTGTCGTAAAAACTTTCAAACTATATTTGACATAAGTTATGAGGTCCCCAAACAGTTGTTTTGTACTCAGACTTGGCTCCCTACACCGTCAATGACGAAAACCGTACGCCAAGTGAGTCAGCTGCAGGTGACTCGTTACCCTAACGATGGCCACCAGTCTAAGGAGAGGTAAAACAGAGAATGCAATGGAATGCAATGGATGGATGATGTGAATACCTAAAGAAGCAGGCTCAGTCATCGGATTCCCGCATCATCACAACCACAGAGGGAAGAGGCTGTCTAGATACTAAGGTTTCGACCCCAAGGCAAATGAACTTCGGTAGTTAGTTCGGGAAGTAGTTGCAGACCACTCGCTGCTATAGCAGAATTGAAAGGACTACAGAACGAACCTCGCGATTGCTTGAAGACTCTCAGGATCCATGGTTTCTTCTCCAGAGTTGGTAATGCCTCGCATGTAGGCTCTCTTGCGGTCAAGTTCACGTTTCAAGGAGTGAGTGGCATTCGATTGTTGCTCCATCACAAAAGCAATGGCTCGTTTTGTGCACCACTGCCGTATGACCGTGGTTTGAATGAACCTAGAAAGCTGTTCTACAGCACTTCGACCCTCTACGTCCAAAAAAGCATGAAGGAAAAATCCGGCTACGTCAAACTGCTCTCCAGAATAACGGATACGCATTTTCGGGTACTCCCTATCTGGCAATCGTCCATTACCAAGCCCTTGAAATGTCAAGAAAGGTTCAAATTTTTGCCGTACGTCGTAGATGGACGCGAGAGTTTGGCCTTCGTACAACAAATCACGCAGACTATCTGCCAACAGTTTAGGCACCCGACTTGTTTCGCCTTTAGCCTTAACCACTATGCCAAATTGACGGGAAAACTCGGGGGCGGTTACTCCGTCGGTCTCTTGCTCCATGAGCTCCTCCAACGGTGGCAAGCATATTGGTTCCCCAAGACCCAGCACGGGCACCGGAACACCCGTCTCTGCGTGCAGCACTTCCAGATTTCTTAGCTTCTTCAGAATTTCCGCTGCGGCACCGCAAACTCCCCGCAACAAAAGCAGATTCAAGTTATGATCCTGAAGAGCGTTGACGTCAGTGGCATCGGGTCGCGGAGCTCCCAGCATGCCATTTATGTGCCTATTGTACAGCGCCAGTGGGTCAACAGTAGGCTCTTCATCGTCCTTATTTGAAGGTACGAAATACTTTGTAAAGGCCTTCTTCACAATTGGAGAGGACGCCTGCCATGCGGCTTGAAAATCGGAAGCAGCTGCTTTAAACTGCTCTTCAGATTGCAGAAGACCCTTCATTGTCACAGCAGGCAGCACTCGTCGTCTAGCCAGTGTATCATCGTCGTCACCGGAGGAAGTGAGATACATAATCGCTCCGAAGATTATTTTCCTTTTTGCGATTAAAACTAAACCCAACAACAGCAACGGCAGCAGTTTCAAGAAAATGGATGACTTCCGTCCTTTTCGATCAAGGGATTTCCTTTCAATTAAGGCGAACGCATTTTCACCTGGATTTCGGCCCTCTATCGTCAAGTTATTGCCTCCCTCCTCCTTAAGCATAACATCTCCACTACGTATCACTTCGCCTTCGTTCGCGGAACCTGCAGGAGCGCTGCCTTCGTGCGGAGGGCTGCCTCCGTGAGCCTCGCCGACTTCTGCCGCATTCAATGGCACTTCTTTCATCGGAGTCTTACTCTAATGGTAGTCACCATTAATGGGACAGAGTACACTCCACTGCTACCAGCAGATCTTCGCGCCGATGATCCCGTGGCCTACGGATGAATCGGCTGGAATGGAATCAGCGAAGACAATGAATCTTGTGCCCTTGGCAGAAAAACAATAAGGACCAACTAAAAAAAGCAATAAAACATAGGGGCATGCATGGCTCGATTCCCTGCTCTCTAGCCGATTGAGCTCCGCCCACAGCAGTGGAGCCCCCAGATCCGCGAGATATTTAGCTCAACTAACTGCTCCACGAAAAGGAACAAGGATTATTAACGTTAAATATTCATTAGAGATACATTCAGACCTGCATGATTATCATATTGGTGTAAGGGGCGGCGCGTGTGGCAGGCGCTCGCAATAGTGGGGCTGTCACATGCCGCTGGTCCATGCGGGTGCCGAGCAAGGCGGCTGCGTTTGCGTTGGATGAATTTGGAATATATTACTGTAAAACCATTCAGCGTATTCACTATTCCAATCCTGAATACCTGAATACCTTGGTTGGTTTCGCATTGGTGGGGGACCGCAAAGTTGAATCTGAGCGCGTACAAATACTATATTTGAGACGGCCAGCTGCTTTCGTGACCCTGCTGCAGAATGACGTTGGTGAACTGGCAGTTCAAAGCTCTTGAAAAACTACAGGCATCGCTATTTCCAGGTGCAATGCACTTCCAGCGAAGCAGCGTAGACGTAGTATGGTTTGCCTGAACTACGCCGCTCGATGCATCTCTACTTGCTATTAGCGTTTATCGATTGTCTTCAGTGCTAGTGCATGCAGAAAAATGAGTTTTGTTATGCTTACTTGAGGGGAAGCCGTAGAGCAGGAGTTACAGCAAGGTTCCTTGCAATTCATGACAGGTTTCACCTGTAGCATGGTCTGTCTGAAGTTGAAATATGGATTTCCACTTGCGTGAAGACCGTTTAGTAAGGCTAAGTAGGTGTTAATCAACTACCTACTACTTACAGTTCTAGTGCATGTATTGAAAGTGTAGTTGGGGGCACTCGCAAATGGCGTCGCGTTGGAGCAGGTGTTAGGGCAAGCTGCGCGTTACAACACGACACCTAACCTTTCTGCACCTTCGCCTGGCCCTTAGTACACTATACCCAGAGTCCTGAAGACTGATCAATAACTCCTCTAATATGGCGAAATTCCACCCTAGTTGTTGGTCCGATTCCCCTTCACGACGCTCTTCTGCAACGATAAAGTGCGCTCGATACACTTGCACACTCTTCGGTAAGGAAAGTGGATGCAGTGTCCCAAAAATAAAGGAGAGAGGAGGCTCCTACGCAGCGCAAAGCTGCGGCATGCGATGAGGAGAAATATCGCAGCGTTCGTTCCCCTTAATATCTTCCCTTTCTCCCCTTAGTTCCCTTCTTCCATTGTGTTCCTATTGACGGATGGGTTAATTGGAGTGCACTTCACTCACTCCGTGCCTTCCTCTTGTCTCCTCGTCCCACGCATCCATCGTTGGGGTCGCAAGCACAGTTTCTGCTGCTGCTTAGAGACTGCTGCAGCACGCGTTTAGGAAGGAAGCAGCAGAAACTGACAGAGAATAAACATGCATGCATGCACGTAGCTGAAGCAGACGCCAAACCTCCTCCAGAGCAGCAGTTTATTCCTGTAGTGAGAAGGCAACAATATATTGTTTACTACAATAAAATATAATTGAATATCGAGCCTAGGCGCAAACAGGCAAACAACCCAGAAGAACTGCTTGGGACAGAGGAGGCTGCAGGTGAAGCATGGGCTGTATGAAATTGAGGTATGTATTTCTGCCTGCGTGCAGGCTGGTTACGAAGGGCCCGCTTCGTGTCTAGTGGTACTGCATAAAGCGAACGGGGATTGATTCTTCGTGCTTGCTTGGCTGCCTTGAGGCAGGGGGTGCAGAAAGGTGTGCTGCAACTCACGGCAGCCCGCCTTAACAGCGATTGTCTGCAAGCTCAAGACCGACTTGAGGTGCAACCGAGCCCTTAGGATAGGCGTTCCTGAAAAGCAGCTGGCCTCATTCACCGTCTCCAGGCATTCTAGGGCCAGATGCCCAGGCGCTTGGGGATAAAGGAAACGATGCGGCCTGGCATGAGTTGCAACGCTCTTCACTGCAACTAATGCCGCAAGACACCTCATCGAGAGCAAACTCACTCTTGCTGGCGGCACCAACAATGTAGACAATTGTTGTGCTTCTACTTCAGTGAAGGCTGCCAAAGGCCAAGGAAGTGTTCATGTACAAACTTCGGACAAACCATGCTGCATGCTCCCACAACGCACCAGCCACAGGCAGGCCCTTCTGCCGCAATGCCCAGGATACCTGCAAATTGGAATGTAGCTTATCCGCCCCTTGGGAACACTTTTGCCTGGTGTTTTGGCACAACTGCTGCCCTGTATGATCCTCGGTTACGATAGAGGCCATCAGTTACGTGCCGCACGGCATCTCGTTGCATGCTGCAAAGCATCCCCACACGCCGGGGTACCTAAGTGGCCTTTCGATGCATGTCCCAACCTCCTAGACAGCTCAAGAAACTTACTCAGCTCCAGCCAATGTTTCTGACCGGTAGAAACATATCTACTGACATCAGACAAAGCACCCTACACCTGCGTCCAATCAACCAGCATGCCCGTTAGTGTGGCGGAACTGCTCCTCTACAGAGCACGCTGTATGCTAACTTCCGCAGGGAAGGGACCATACGGTTCAATTCAGAATCTGTGTATTACGACAACAGTAACGGCAGATGAAACTTCGATGGTTGCCTCCCAACAGCAATGACGGCGACTGAAACCACCAGAGCAACGCCTGCGCACCACAGTCTCAACTCCATAGCTGGCCCTGCTTCTTTAGAAGTAAGAGACTGCAAATTTTAAACATTGCATTTGGAAGAACAGAAGACATCAATGCTTTTCTGCTGGTACATTATTTGTAGGGCAAGTACGGCCGAGTCGCGGCCAGCCCCCGCCACTGTAGCATCCCATGGACGCGTCCTGGAGGGTGCTGCCTGTGCGGCACGAAGCGAGTTTGTGTTTAATTAGCTCTTAAGTTGCTTTCTAATTGTATTTAGATTCGTTGTAAACAAATGCTACGGCCTACCTACATGCCAAGCAGGAGAACACAGTCTGCTAACTCCAGAGCAGCCCCAGGTGTCGTACCGTTCGTTTGCTCATTGTATTTCCATCCGCAACAAAAGCTCTTCGCATGTGCCTTTTCTTCATTTAAGCGCTTGTTTTATTCACATTTTTAGAGCCCCTACACCGTTTCAATACCCCTTGTGCCTCCTCTCCACCCTTCGCTGCTCTACTTCAGCGCCGAACTCAAAGGGGCCCCGAACCCACAGCCCTACACCCTATTCTCTACACTCCACAAAGCCAGAGACCCTGAAATGCCACAGGGCTGCTGCTCCAAAGAGGAGGAGGCACGGCAACTGCCGAAGTCAAGGGGAGAGGAAACCCCTGCAACAGCAACTTCTGCTTCCGTGCCTGACAATGCAGACAAAACCGGCAAGCCAGCAGCAGCAACAGGATCAGCAGCAGCAGCAGTGGAGGAGCTGAAGGGAGGGAAGCAGCTGAAGCCAACCTCTTTGCCTACTGCAGCGGCCTTGGCGCATGCAATGAGAGGTAAGTGACAAAGCATATAAATCGTCTGTGTGGTATACTTGTCTGTTGCCTTGTTGCTCTCTTGCTAGATTAGCAAGGGGAGGACATGAGAAAGGCAGATAAATCAAATCAGGAGTTAAAGGAGGCAACAACAGTGATGTAGACTGTTCATTATTGCGTATTTGCTTGTTTAAATAGGCTTGTCCCTCTCACCCTCTCCTCTGAATAGCCCCCACTTGTTTTGGGACACGCAACCCGTTGTCAAGGCGACAGAGCAGCAAAACATCACTCCACAGGTACCTCGTTTGCTGCCATTGCTGCTGTTGCTGCTGTTCCGGCTGCTGCTGCTGCTGTAGTTTAATCCGTGTCCCTTAGTTTGGTTGTTTTCTGTCTGTCCTCGCTCGTCTGCTACTTTTTTGTTTTCGTTCCTTTATTAATTGTCTTTATGGCTTTTTCAAGCTTGATGAGCCCTTCTAGTGGGTGCCTCTTGTTTACTCCGTATTTTCTTTGTCCTACATTCCCTTTGCATTCACTTACTACACCGGCATTCAGCTGCACCAGAAGCAGCAGCACCAGCGCTAGTAACAGCAGCGGTAGCAGTGGCAGCAGCAGCACCAGCAGCAGCAAAGTTGTGTTGAATGTTTCTTCAGGATGAAGGGCCAATCGATGCAACGAAGACGGTGGAGGATGTTCGGAAGGTAGGCCTCTCCTAATTTTGTTTGTTTTTGTTCGCATGACGTTCACATGTCTTCGTTTGTTTCTGCTGTTTATTTCTGCTTGCCTTGCACTCCGGGGCGTTTATCGTTTAACCTCAGTTCAATATTTGTATGACATTTTCCTCTTCGTTTATCTTCGCTTTCCTTGCTGCTGCCCTCTCACACCTTTCTCATTCATTTTCAGCACCAGGAAGCCATTAAGCACCCGCAGTAGGCGTTGCACTTCTTGCTGCTGCTGCTATTGTTGCTGTTGCTCTTGCTGCAGGATCCTTACACCTTGCCGAGTGGATTTGTTTGGTCGCAATGCTCCGTGGAAGAACCAGAAATGCTGGACGAGGTATGGACATCAGGGTTTAGGGCAGCTAGGTCCAGGGCTTCGCGTCCAACGGTTTCATCTGTAGATGCTTTTAGGGATTAACGTTAAGGGTGTGGTGCTTGTACGACCTATGGGGTTATGCACATGATAAGGGTTATTTCCAGCTTAGGGTTTAGGGTTTGCGTGCGGCGTTTCGTTTAGCTGTACAACTTGCTAGCGCTGCACTACGTAGAAGACGATGACAATTTGTTTCGTTTTAATTACGGAAAAGATTTTTTGGTTTGGGCGTTGACTCCGCCGAATTATTTTAAAGAATGGATTGTGGGGGTTCGCGTGGAGGCATCGAAGAAGGTGAGGTGCTGTATTTATTACATTCATGCATATTGTAGTTTTGTTGCTTTATTTGTGTGTTTCTTTGCTGGATTCGGAGTTTGCCTGTTTCTTCCCGCTGTTTAGTTTTTATGCTGTTTACTCCCTTGCCTTGTTGTTTGTTGATTCCTCTGCACTTTTGTTGTATTTGTTTATTCTTGCCGTTTCTGGCCCATCGTTTATTGCTGTTTTCTCCTCTTTGTTTTGACGTTTGTTTGCCGCGCTGTTTGTTTATGCGACTTGTTTTCTCACACGTTGTGATGCCTTTGTGCTGAAGGGGAGGAAAGCAGGCAAAAGCACTTCTTTTTTCTATCCTCATGCTTGTTTGCTGCTGCAAAAAGTAACCCTATGCCATAAGCCTGTGCTGATTTGCTCTGCAGCTGGTGGGATTCATCTCTGCCATACCCACGACTCTTGTTTGCAACAACAAACAAATTAAGGTCGCGGAAGTTAATTTTCTCTGCGTGCACAAAAAGCTTCGGAGCAAACGACTGGCTCCGGTGAGGGGTTAGATGCATCCGCTGCATTCTTTCCCTTCTTTTTCTTGTCTCCCCTCTTGTTCGTCTGCATTGTCTTTCACTTCGCTTTTTTTCTGTCTTCTCCACTTCTTTCTTTGCTTCGCTTCGCTTTGTTTTGTCTTCTCCTCCTTTTTGCTTGTTTTTTTCTTTCTTTGCTTACCACCATTTTTCAGTATCTTCTCTGTCCTTTTCGGCCCTTTCTTTACGTGTCTCCTTTTCTTCGTTCTCTCGCCTTGGTCTCTTCTTTCTTCTTTTCATTCTTTCCGTTACCATCTTCTTTTGTTTCTTTGCTTGTCTTCGCATTTTTTTTTCGTGTTTTATTGACGCGTTGTCTGCTTCGTTGCTTGCTGCAAACTTCTCTGCTTTTTTCATTCCTCAAAACCGCTGCAGCTGTAACTCTGCTCCATCCTCTGTTGTGCACTTTCTCTGCTTCTTACCTTCTGCTCCTTTGATTTTTGTCTGAGTGCAATGACTTTCTAGAATACAACAAAGCCACAACACCTTTCTAGCCTGCCGAAGTTTGGGCCTCGAAGAGGGTCCCTCTGTTTCCTACATTCTTCTTTTTGTTGGCTTATCATTGCGTACTATTTTCTCCATTTTGTTCGTAGTACATTCATTTGCTTTTGAATGATTCTTGGGGTGTAAGAGAAGCAAGCTGCAATTCGTCCGAGGTGTATACGCAGGTGCTAATTAAAGAAATTACACGTCGGGTGAATCTGAAGGGCATTTGGCAGGCGGTATACACAGCAGGTATTTTGTTGATTTTTGTCTGCTTTTTGTGTCTACTTGTTTTCTAATCGGCACATTGTGAAGTATGTTTCCGTTTTAGTTGTTTTACTTTTCCCTTCAGTTTCGTTTGGTCTCTTGATTTGTGTTTTTGGATGCGACTTCCTCACCTCGCCGTCCTTCTACCATCTGTTGGAAAGTGTTTGTTGTTTGAAGCTGTTTGGCAGGGTTTAGGGCTTTCATAGTTTAGGGCTTATGGCTTAGCGGCCGTGTGGGCTTGTTGCCTAGCGTTGAGGGCCTAGGGTGTAGAACTAAGGGTTGAGACTTGAGGGTTTAGTGCGTATGGTTTTGGTTGGTGCAGGTGTCGTACTCCCTACTCCTGTGGCGGAATGCCGGTACTGGCACCGTTCTTTGAATCCGAAGAAATTAGTAGAAGTGGGCTTTAGCGGCTTAGGGCAAAGAATGACCATCAGCCGCAGCATTAAACTATACAAGGCAAGCCGGCACCTTAATAGCTCGCTGCAAGCCACAAGCCCTGAACTATTAACCATGCAACCCCGCTATAGACTGCAACTGACGGGCCTTGGTGCACCAGGCTTCTCAACCGTGAACCCTTAGCTGAGGGCGCGGCTGTCCGTTCTGTATAGAGCGAAGAAGCAAGCTGTATTGCCTCATAGCCAAAATCAGGATTTTGGCTGTGAAGTAAGGCGCCATAAAACTCAGAATGCCCAGGGCTCGGATGTATGCGCAGGTGAGAGATCAACCTGCTCTCTCAGGCTTAAGACCGATGAAGCAAGCAGATGTTCGCCAGGTTCATAAATTACTTATGAATTATCTCAAGTGGGTCTTCGGAGGTTTTTCGTGCTTTTGCATCTCTTGCTGCACATGCGTTGTCACCAGACAGCTACCTGAACAACCCGCAAATGCATGCTTCATATGCTTGGCATATTTTTCGAATAGACCGATGCGGATGGCGCGGACGCTTTGTTTTTCTTTGATCATTGTTGTTTTGTTTCGCTTTGTTTTGCTGTTGTGCTTTGTTGTTTCTTCTTCTTGTTGCCGTTATTGGTTTCCTTAGTGTGTTGTGGTTTGTATGACTTGCTTAAGTGGTGTGCTTCATGTGCTGTTGTTTGACTTTCAGTATAGAAGCCGCCCTGTCCCATTGCTTGTTCATTGGTTATTTTGCTAGATTGCTCAGAAGATTTGTGTTTGTTCATTCTTTTGTTTACGTGCTGCGTCTTAATTGTTGCTGCAGGCAGTTTAAACTGTATCCCGATTTCACACAAGAAGAAGTGCGGCACTGGCTGATGCCGAAGGAGGGAGTTGTACATGTTTACGTTCGAGAACAAGGAGGTTAGGCAACTTCTGTGTGTTGGGGGTTCCGTCTCTGTTTTTCATTTTCTTTGTGTGTTTCTCTCTGTTGTGTTGGCCGCACCTCTATTTCCTCTTTTGCTCCATGGTTTGTTCGTTGGCTGTCTTAATTCAGCTTCCGTTGTTCGCTTCTCTGTTGACCATTCGTCTTTGCTTTTGTCCCGACCATCTTTTTGTTGTCTACTTACCTCCATTTTCGTGGCTGTTTTGTTTACGGGCTGCTTTTCCTTGTGTTTCAACTTCTCCTTGGCATAAAAGGCGAAGATGGGTTTTATTCTTCCGCGTGCATTATCTTCTTTTCCCCTCTGCTGCTCTTTATTGTATATGCTCCTTTCGGCTGTAACTGTGGCTATAACTGCAATTGACAACATCTTCAAATTTGCTTGTTTGTATCCCTTCCTGTTGCGTATATTATTTTTAGGGAAGGTTACCGACTTGATTTCATTCTACGAGTTGCCTTCTTCTGTCATCGGAAACCAAAAGCACAAAGAAGTCAAAGTGCGTTCCTCAGAGTTTTGCAGATACCTTCGCGTGAATAGAAGATAGATAAATGCAGGTGCAATTGTTCGTACGAGTAAGACGCACAGATACGTGAACGAGAGTCCCGGCGAAAATGAGAAAGCTTGCAATGCTTGATAAAAGACATGCAAAGTTTTCTGTTGCGTTGCGCACTTGTTGTTTTCTTCTGCAGGCGGCTTATTCCTTTTACAATGTGGGGACGTCTGCTCCTCTAAAAGAATTAATCCAGGACGCTCTTTGCCTCGCCAAGCAGAAGTACGCACAAACAACGAAGAAATAGACAAGCAGCCGAGAGAACATGGAAAAGGTCTTGCCAAAGATAGAGTACAAAGGGAGGCTAGCAAGGAAACAGCAACAAATAATAAATAAGAGGCACAAAAATAACGGAGGAAAAGGCGACAAAGTGCTAACAGGGATAGGTGATAGATGAAGAGAGAGAGAGGCAATAGAACAACAAGTACACAAGGAAAGACAGTGTGGAACAAATGCATGAAAACCACCAGGCCTTCATTTGCCTTTTTGTGCACTCATTCTTCATTTAACGCTATATCTGTATTTCATGCGTCTGTTTATCCATTTGGGTATCGGCTTTTCTGTTTTTTTTCACTTAGTCCGCAAGTTTCCACGCCGGTTTGCTGTTTTCTTGATCGACGATGGCGTACACTGCATCACTTTTGTTCATTGAATATTCGTTAGCTTCGTTTATTGCACTTTTTTGTATTGATTGTTGGTGGTTTTATGGCAGAGATTTCGATGTGTTTAACGCGTTGGA